AATTGTATTATGCAACACTGCACTCGCCGCTACAAATAAAGTCGCAGAACTCACTGTTGGACTATTAATTGCTACAGCAAAAAATTTTCTCGATGCAAACCAACAGATAACATTGTAAATTTGAAAAATAAATATAATTTAATTTTTACTTAGTTAATATTATTTTAACAATTACAATACATTATCAGAAAAATTAGTATTTTTCTTTTAAAAGACAATAACTGATAGACGATTTTTGTTAAGAAAAAAACCATCTTTTTTTTCAATTTTATAACTAATAAATAGTAAATACTACAATTTATATTTTAACTATGAAAAAAATATTTAATCATTTATTCGTCCAATAATACAGCCAGCGGTTAATGTAGTACAAACAAATATACAATTGATTTAATTGACTTTATTTAAACTCGTATGCGGTTTAAGGTACAAATATATAACAACGATACGACTGATACGTATTTATACGTTTGTTGAGGTAAATTTCCAACAATGCTCGGTATGGACCTGACGAATTCCATAGTCGGCATAGTTGGCTGCGGAAACATTGGCATTGCGGTTGCAAAAATGCTGAGCGGGTTCAAATTGAATGGACTACTGTATACAAGCCGTACACCAAAGCCCGAGGGTAAGACTGTGGACGAAAAAATTTCTATTTTAAAACACTGTTGGATTTGAATGGTAACTTTTTTGTTGTTGTGCCATCAGTGGAATGTCTTGGAGGACAATTGGTGTCGACCGACGATTTAGTTAGACGCAGCGATTAAATAATTATTTTGGATACAATTTTGGTACCCGAAACCATGTATATCATAAATAAGGATTGACTAGCGCTCATGAAGCCAAACGCTGTGATAATTAATGTGGGCCTTGGCAGTGAGTGTATATATTTAAAAATATTATTAAACAGTAACATAACAGTAATACGAAATAGGAATCGAATATTACCTATCATTATATCTAATTTATAAGTTATAAATTATAACCTATGCCTGAGAACTTGAAAACAACTCTATTTGAATGATATGCGTGTCACTTGTCTCTGATAAATAAAATAAAAAACTCGTGTTTAAAACCTGAACTTTGTAAGAATTTTGTTTCAGTAAGTTTTAGTTGTATTAAATAATTACATGACTCCCAGTTCACACAAATTTCTTGAAGGCTCTTGAAGACACTCGGAAAAAATAGTATTATTTAACCTTCGGCCCCATATTCTATTTCGTAACTGTTATAAATTAACTATTAAGGTTATGATTAGTACAAAACAATAGTTTAACCAATTCTTTAATCAAACTATAATATTACTTAATCCAAATTTCAAATTCAATTTTTTTTATACGGATTCTTGGATTCAATCCATTTTGACTTGAATTAATAATGGTATGAAATAGAGACTATGTAGAATATTTTGTATCTAGTCCTTACTCCTCTTAACAAAGCCTAATATAGGCATTTTGAGGTCTTAGGCAAAATAAAAAATGTGGCCTCTACTAGTTAACAGTAGCGTATCTATGTTTCCTTCAACCCGTGAGTTAAACGAAACAAATTAATAATTACTAAAATTTTGATCACTTGATCACATAAAACTTTGAATTTATTGACTTTATTAATTATTCTAAATAGGAACACTTATACTAGTCAGCCACTCCAAATCTACATTTTTAAAACAAAATTAAAAAGTAAATATTATCTACAAATACAAACAATATTTTTATAACTTATTATCTTTTTTAACTAAATTTTATTGGACTTATAAAACTACATATTTGAACATTTTAGTTAATCCCAAAAATTAAAATTAAGGGTGACTGTGAGGTAATACGTAGTCATACGTAAATACATGATACATTCATCTCTAACCCTACTCACCAATATACACTATACTTAAAGTAACAAAATATGCCTGATGATTAATATTTAACATAATACTTAGATTGTTATATAATCTTTTTAATATTTGAAATTTTTTAAATTAATTTATGTTATCCATTTTAAAATATATTTAAAAATTATAACATATATAAACACGTTAAAACATAGATATAAAATTATAACTTGTGAAAAAAAAACCCATGTATGTATGTGTTATTATTTTTTCGATTTGTGTTTTCATTTTTTTAGTTTTCTTACTTCATATTGCCGGAAAAAACACTATTGATGCTCTTAATATTTAAAATGCACAGCTAGCTATTAATAATATTTTTACAGTATTTAATAACCAACCGATACCTAGTAAAGTAAAATTATGCTAGTATTTTTTTCCAAATAAATTGTCCAAAGATTATACAATAATTTATTAACAATGAATTCTAATGATATGCACTATAAAATTAAATAAAAATAAATATTGTACAAATAAATACAATAAATCAATGCATTGTTTTTTAATGTAGTCCAAGAACAAAGTATAAGATTCATATATGAAAAATGCGATTCATGAAAACGTAATACTTAAGTTAAACATTAAATAAATCAAGATTAGCAATTTAAAATCATCAACAATTGACAGTTTTCGCTTTAAAGTTAATGCATTATATTTAAATAAACACCTACGATAGTTTTAACCACAATTTTTTCGTCTTAAAGTTTTAGAAAAAACATTGAAGGAGATTAATAAAGTATTATAATTGACTGTCGATAAAATGACAGCTGTGGTATTTCAAAAACTATAAGTTCCAACTAGTGAAGTAAATGTACACGAAAATCTTACAATCTAATTTTAAATCATACACCTACATAATAATTAACTAATTTACTATTAGTCTGATTGATAACTGTTAACATTTAGTTTTAAAATTAATTGTATGGTTATTTATCCTTTGAAAAACATAAAATAAAGTTGTATAATCCATACTATACGTAATACTAAGTAGTTATATTTATTTGAAAATAAAAATATATAAAAACATTCATGGTGTATTAGAATATACATCCTTACTAAGCATCACCAAATTGTTAAATTTGTAATAAAATAACAAATTAAAATATACAATGGTTTATAATACATAATTTATACATAATCTTTTTTTACTCATTACCCAGTTCATTATAATTTTTTATTACATATTTAACTTACAGTATTTACTTTTGTCATTTCATTTGGAACACACCCGTAAAACAAACACTTTATCGTAGGTATTGTTTTTTTTAGGATGAACATTGTAATACAAAATCTTTTATCATTTATTTTTTGTTTTTTCAAAGCAGTTTGTATACATATTCATGGAATATATAATAACTTTTAGGTAAAAACTTTAAACAATAACCATTTTAAAAGCTCTTCCTGTTTGTTTTAAATAAATGTTATTCTATATAATAACTACTGACTAAAAAATACATTTTTAAATAAAAAATTAACAGTTTTTGATTTTTATAAAGCATTGATAGGAAATAATGATTGCGAAAGCATGTATATCATTGAACAAACATCGATTATTTATTTTTCTTCAAGTCAAAAGGTTTAAAAATAAGGTTTTAATATTAAAATCCACAAAATTAATATAAAACAATTTTGTGTTCATTATACCAAGTGATAATGTTAAAAATATTCACTACGTCCTGAACTCATAATTGTTTTACATTTTATTTTATTTTTTAAATTAAAATTTCGAAATAATTATCATATCAATTATACTGAATATCTTGTACAGAAAGATTGTTGACGTTTAATGATTAAAACTGAATAAATTTATAAATGTCATTACTAAAAGGTAATAAAAAAATACGTATAGTAATTAATTAAAAAAAAAAAAAACATTTAAAAAACGACATGTCGGTACGTATAATACCTCGTGTACTCTTCGCTGCCACCAAGTGTACGGTTTGACTAAATTGACGTCGACGTTTTCCCGTAGTAGGTAATAATTATTGAATGACAGTGACAGATATTAAATTATTTTACGTTCAAATTAATTATTCATTCGATTCAACATAAAATAATTTATACAAAAGAAATTACATACTTGGCATTGTTCCCTCAGAACTTGGGTTTTGTCCTAATTGTTTTCAATACGTTGCATGTCTTTCGAATGCCAAAATGTCATGGTCGTGTTTTCACGACGATAAATTATTATTATTGTATAATAATTGTACACGGTCTGATGTATAGGCGCGAAGATAATATTTCATAACAACTATCTCCGAAGGAAAATACAAATAATCATCGTTCGCTTTAATGTATTTTAATTGTCAACTCACTATAAGTCAAATTGAATTTATAATGATTTTGGCTACTATGCTATGACCATGTGTGTTTTATTTACTATACAACGGACGTTAAAAAAAATGATAATGTTATTTTATTTGTTTAAATGCTCTGAAAGGAACAGAATAAAGAGCTTATTTTTTTAAATATTTTTATAATATTGTAAAAATTAATAACATTTGCAAAAAGAAAATAATAATAATAAGATAAAATTACAAAGAATAAAAACAACACGAATTAAATCATAGCGATAGTTTAAAATTTAAAATTAATTCATGACTTCATTAAAATAATTCATACATTTTATTAATTAATATCTATATACATAAAAATTTGATGGGAAGAAAGGGAATAAGATATTCTAAAGTGCAATAATCCACACAATTATTATTTACATCGTCTTTTAGTACAATTCTACTTGAGGAGCTATTGAAATTTCTATAGGACATAGCTCTTTGGAAGCCACACACTTTGTTTTACATAGTATTATAATCAATTGCAATTGAATGTACTTTGTTAATTTTTTAAAACGATTTAGAAGGTATTAAATGTATTTTTTACAATAGTAAGTATTGTGAAATTTTTAATGGTTTTACATTCATGCAGCATTATTTATTTTAATCATTATAATTTTCAATATTACGCATATGTCCAACCAAAGTCTAAATTATACTGTTCTCTGAGATGTAATATACATAAATACATATCATAGGTTAAATTTGAATTAACTTAAATAATAGTAAATAATATAAATTCGAAAGTATATTTATTGAATACCTATAGGTACAACAGGAAACGATTATTTTTAAAAAGTAATAATTTTAGTCCCATATAATATATTTTCATACAATGGCTAATATGATTTAAACCTTAATTTTATCCTATTCGTAAAAAATGATTTTAATTGTACACACGTCAGTCATACATAATATAAATATTCTATGATATTTATGATTTTGGCAATTCTACAGATAAATCAGCAATGATATACGATATAACTGCAAACATTGCAGTGTTTAAATCTAACGAATCTGGATCCTCGACGGCCATCGTATCGGCTTCTGTATGGTGATACCAAAAATATTTTTCGTTTCTATTCAACAAACTCAAACCGGGTATATTCATATTTTCAAATACCTCGATGTCTGAACCAACGTTATCTTTGGTGGATTGCATGGTAGTTGCATTGATGGAGTCAAACAATCTGAAATTATTAAATCAATTTATTTTTATAAAAAAAATCAATCAACACATAACAATTATATTTTTTATTTGAATAAAATTTTATTATACTGAAAAAATAAATAAACATTCTCAATATTATGATATTTACTTAGCCACTTCTGCCATAATGCACGCGGATGTATCAGAACCATGAAATGCAATTCCATACGGCTGAAACGTCCCTTCGTCCGATTCAATGACCAAATTAAATTTTTCAAGTTCTGATATATGGCTTTTTAAATATGCATAAGCCCCTATATATCCTTCTTCTTCAGCTGTCCATAATAAACATCTGCATGCAAAGAATGTAAATCAATGCCCCTTACAATATATATAAAATAATTAAATATCTAGAACAACAACATATATTTAGATACCTATTATATTATAATATGTATAATACCACCTATTGATAAGTACAAATTTCGTAATTTGTAAAAAAAAGTTAAAAAAAAAAACAAATTGACACTTTTAAAATATTAGTCCAATAATGGTTTATGTCTTCGTTAAAAATATTAATTTAAAATGTACTTTCATAGTTGTAGGTACTTAATAAGTTTGTCAATGATTTATTTAATTATTATAGTGTCATTAAAATAATTTTAAATAAGTAATATAAGCAATAATGTAACATGTTATCTGTATAATATTATATGACCAATTTGTATTTTTATTAATATTTTAATTCTTAAGTCAATAAAAATGTACCGTAAATATGCTCAGTTATTATCGCGAATCTTAAATTTGTAAACGTCAATATCTACCTGAGCACCGATATTATCACGTTAAAATTTCTCAATGTGTAAACTTTGAATATATGCGTTAAAAATGTTTATTTAATTAATTGACAGTTTCTTTTATTAGCGTTAAATCGTTTGAAAAACGTAATGAGTATTACGTGTAGCATAAAGCATGAAAATACTTTATATTAAATCTAACATGAATCTATAGACTATATCATATATTATTATGCCCATTTTTTCTAAGTATAATGTATTATTATTTATTACCTTATCGTTCTCTTGGGTCGGAGCCCGAAATTTTTGAGTACGGCGAGACTGTTCCAACTTATAAACGCACCGCCACCGTCGTCCATCGCACCTTGTCCCACATCCCAACTGTCCAGGTGCCCAGATACCAATACTATTTTATCGGGATCTGTCGAGCCTTTGATTTCGGCAACAGTATTTCTGGATGTGGCGTTGGCGAAGAACTTTGAATCCATTTTCAAAAAAATCTCCAATTTGGAGCCTATACAACAAACGTCAAAAAGGATATGATAACTATGATTTATAAATATGTTTGTGTTAAACAACTACACGATAATAATAATACTATATAAATTATTACCCATTGGAATTATTTTATAATGGAACAAAAGCTAAAGTTGAATTCCCTTAAAATATTCCGAAGTAATTTTAAGCTTTCAGACAAAACTTTTTTTTAAATCCTATGAAAATATATTTTTCGCTCTTAAATCAACTCATTCCCCCCATAAAAAACGGAACCCATTTATAATAATATGACGCATCCTGACCTCGGTTGTACATTCTATTTAGGAGTTCGGCGTCCTCAACCGTGATGCAGGCAGTCGGTATCTTTTTCACACCGTCGCTATAATCCTGTTGGCCGGCGTGCGGTGTATTCAACGAGAACGGAGTGATGGATCGGATCAACGTAGCTACGGCTCCGTACTTGGATGCCTCACTCGCTCCCTTTGATCTGTACTTCACAGTTTCTCCGTACGACACGAACGGTTGATTGTACACGACGATTTTGCCGTTGACCTGACAAGTGCATTATTGAAATGAATAGATATTTTTTAAAGTTATTTTATATGGATAAAACAAATCAACATTTCTATGTAGAGACAGCATTTCGTCAATAATTAGCTAGGTAATATAATATACGATACCTCTGAAGATTTATTTAAGAGGTCGTCAAACGAGGTGACCACCACCACTTCAGCCCTGATGCCTTCCGGGACCGTACTAACACTGCCACCCAATCCCAACATTGCTAGATTCTTGACCCTCGGACTCACCAACCTAGCGAATTCTTTACGCCTAAAACCATGATCGTATAATATACAAAAATGTACAATGTTTGGTATAATTTATAAATGTTTGACAAATTTTTTCGTATAATAATAATTTTGTTTATATTATATTACGTGTGTACCAATATTGCACATTTTATAACTGTGATATCGACTAGGTACCGACATTTAAAACGTGTAATCTACTCAATCGTATTGTTATATTATATTTTTACAAGACACACGTATTGCAATTTAAATAAAACTTTGAACTTTATAGTAATCCATATTAACCCTAATGAGCATTATTCAAATTAGTTGAATGATTTATTAATTGCAATAATTATAAGTATGCCATTAATATTTGATGTACCTACATTTTCAAATTTCTAAAAAAAATTGTTAATGCATTTTTAAATCAAGTATCTATCTATGTTATAATCACCATAATATTGTCATAATTTTCACTGGAAAAACAATTTTGAAATTCGTTTGGCTTTTTGAACTTTTATCATCCCAGGTGATGCTATTTATATTATGCGTAATATATGAAATTATTATTACTATTGATATTATTTATCATGTATTAAATATTATATTATCTTACTATTTCTACTGCACTAGTATAATAACAGTAAAAATCCGTCAGATATTATAAACGACGATAACGATATAATGTGTATAGTGTGTAATAGTGTATACCTTTGCCATCCCGTGAAAACGACGCGTTCAGCGTGTACATTATCTAAGTTTGTAGTCCTAAGTCTGTTCAGCATATAGTCGATGGAATTCTCGAGGTTTGGAGTGCCGGCTAACCGGGAGCCGAACGTATCCGTGAACTCGGACAAGGCAGCCCATGTCTTGCCCTTATAGCCCTTCTGATCCTGGACGTACGAGAGCACACGGTCGACAATTGGACGATAGCCGGCGATCTCATCGCGAAGAGAACAGGCCAGGCGACAATGACCGGCAGACGCTTCTGTCAGCGGCTGGATGAGCAGTGTTTGCAGTAGCAAAACAATCACGGCTGCGACCGGACATAATGTCCGGGAACGATCAACAGCCATTTGGCGGCCGCCGTTTACTGCTAAAGCGGAGAATACAATGTGAGTATATTAATAATATTATACCTGTCAGTACCTAATTATGATAACTACCTACGGTGTTATATAGGTACGCAATATATCCGAGCACAACCGCGGTCCGCAACGGAATCGGAACTACAGAAAACTCGATGTACCGGACCGGACGGCGGTTGTTATAATACTGCGCCGACACAACATCAACAGTATAATATTTTAATTTAATATTTTCAACAGCGGGGATGACTCGTTCCCGTGCGTACTGCGTGCGCGAACAGACACCGGAGGAGATAAACGAGATCATACAACGTATACGAACAAATTATAATTGTGAATCACGATGCAATGATAATGTTATGTAATTACTATTATCAATATAATAAACATCACACGCACAAAATCAAATTATAGGATATGGTGCACGCCTTGTCGTGATAGTTTAATCAACTACCCATAAGACTAAATTGTCTATTGTAAATTTTATACGTCTATAATGTGCAAAAATTACCATCGACCCGTTTGATCCGTCATTGATTGTCGTTATTTATGCTACGATATTATAAATCGCGGTTCCGTGTCCAATCGGATCGATTTAAAATTTTAAAATAGGTACCACATTTATCAGTTCAGATCATAAGAATAACATTGCAAAGGGTAACCCAACAGTTCTAATAATATGGATACTCGTATTAGACGTATAGGACTATAAATTATTTTATTATATTGTACAAGCGTAACATTTTTGGGCTTATTAAAAAGATTTATTATACTTTTCGTTCTACAATCATAGATCTTAAAAATAATGGTTTTTGTTTTTTAGACAACTATAAAAATTTCTTTTGAAGGATTTGTTGGCTAATAAATTTAATTTACTACACAACATGTGTACGTCATACGCTATAATATATTTTTGTATCGAACATATCAATAAATGATATTACTTGCGCTATCTATCTGTAAATGGTTAACAATCACTTACAGATCTTATATGACAGAGTGCATGACATTACTAGAAAATAAAACTAAATATTAATAAAACAGGTACTTACAAGTTGCAATCGCCAATCTATATATAATCTTGTAGTATGCATATTTTAACAGATTACTATAAACTATAGAATTAAAGTTTATACTTTGGACTATTATTTTATAGGACATAATATACATGTCCGTCAATCCAACATTCCCTAGTTGTGAATTTTAACTTCAAAATTTCACAAAATTATGTAAGTATTATGTAACGAAATGTAACCACAAAAATTATTTCGTAACTTATAAGGAAGTTCAGAATTCCAAATTTTAATTATGGGTGTTGCGGCATGATGTCACTCCTGCCCTCTGGTACCCAGTAGCGTAGCCAGGGGGGAGCTGAGAGGTCTGCAGCACCTCCGATATATTAAGAAAAAATAAAATATTCACTTTTTTTATCTGATGACCTTTTTTTTACTATATACTATTATACTACTTTTGCTATGTATAAATATATATAGATAGATAATTATTCCAAATAATTAATACTAAGATATCTATTACCCACACCTGTTACTACCACATATAATATAATATAATACATGATTAGCGTAATAGCGTACTTATTAAACTAATAAAGAGTAAAGTTTTGTAACTCGAAACATATATGTTCTAAAATTATGTTAAAATACTTGATTATTTAATTAATTTAATAATTTGAAAGAAAATAATAAGTATTTTTTTTTAATTTAAACAAAATATGTAGAATATTTAAGCTTTAAAAATTTAAATAATGTACATAATATTACCATTATTGTTTAATTTAGCCGTTCACTATTTTTTTACACTCCTTCAGTAATCAATTAATCGGTGTAATCAAATAGTTGGTGCAATAACTATAAAAAATACTATAAAAAAATCAATAGAAATCAAAGACAATTTAAGTAACACAAGAAAATTTTTCAACAAAAACAATTTCAAATCATTATTAAAAAATGAAACATGGAACAACACACCTACCACTGCCTCCATTAATAGTAATCTTGAATCATACACCAAAAAAATACAAGATATAATACAAAAATGTAATATTTATACAACCTATTCAAATACGGTCCCTATAAAACCTTGGATTACAAAAAGTATATTAGACAGTATCAGAACTAGAGATTTACTTCACTCACAGTCAAGAAAAAAACCTTATGATTTAGCCTTAAAAGAAAAATTTAAAAAATATAGAAATAACTTAAACAACATCCTTAATAAAGCAAAATTTAATTTCTATGGAAACAAAATAAAACGATGTAATAATAATCCCAAAAAAATTTGGAAAACAATTAATGAAGCCACAAAAGGCCAAAATTATAATAATAAAAGTAACAATCTACAAATAAATATAGAAAATAATATATACTCTAATAAAACACATCCTGAAAAAATTGCAAATTTTTTTAACAATTACTTTGCAAAAATAACTACAAAGAACTTGAATGAATCGAATGAACTAACTTCTGATAACATTGATGAAACAGTATCTCACCAATCTTTCTATATAAGAAAAACTAATCTAACTGAAATTAAAAACATAGTATTATCTCTAAAAAAGGGCACCGCTCCGGGTCATGATAATATTACCACTGAAATGGTGAAAATGTTTGATGATGAAGCACTAAAGCCCCTAGTCAATATAATAAATGGCATAATACACAACGGTGTTATTCCCAACAGCTTTAAACTTTCAATTATAACACCTATTTATAAAAAAGGAAATAAGACTAATGTAGAAAATTTTAGACCTATAAGCCTCTTGACAACTTTTTCAAAAATATTTGAAAGAGTGATCAAATTAAGATTAGCTAATTACTTAGAAGAAAATATGTTACTTCCACCAACTCAATTTGGTTTTAGAAAAGGTTTTAGTACTGAAGATGCTATCACAAGCTTAACCCAAACAATATTACACTCTATAGACACAAAAAAAAAAACGATTGGAATATTCATGGATCTGAGCAAAGCCTTTGACTCAGTATGCCATAATAAATTATTAATATATCTCAATAAAATAGGCATTAAAGGAAAAGCTCTATTACTATTTAAATCTTACTTAGACTGCAGGCACCACAGAGTAAAAATAGACGATATCTTAAGTGAGAGTAAAGCTATGACCTGTGGTGTTCCGCAAGGCACAGTATTGTCACCGTTACTATACATAATATATGTTCTGGAATTGTCTAACCTAAAACTTGATGGAAGTATATATTCGTATGCAGATGATACAGCATTAGTTGTGACAGGTGAAACATGACAGTCAGTAGCTAAAATAGCAGAAAATTCCTTAAGTAAAATAATTGAATGGTTCTCTAATAATAATTTATCACTAAATTATAATAAAACGGTTTGCATCACATTTTCAAATTCAATAAAAACATCGCCCAATATGACTAGTATATAAACACAAAGTCCAATGTGTATGACGTAGAATCAATCAGTTCTGCAGGCGGTGCCGGAGGAACGTACGTATAATTCTTCTTATAAATTGCAGCCATGTTTTCAATTGAACCAGCCATGTTTAAACACTTTTATACTCATAAAAATTTTTAAAGACGGAGCGAACGATACGTGTACACCAGTTTAAGGCAGCAGACGGACTAAATGGCCACCGACTCCTTAAGTCAGGAGTCTCTATAATAGGTGGGGACATTTTTCAATATTAATGAATTTTGCTGGAATTCAATTAGTTAATTGAAATTTCTACCATAGAGTTCTAAGTGTTCAGGTGCAAGCTATTAGTATTTCGATTTAAATATAAAATGGCTATTAAGAGTCGGCGACATCCTGGGTTTTATATACAAAAAGTATGCCATTTTACTAATGAATTTTCTATACTTAATCACATTTTTGTACGTTATTTTCTCACGTATGGATATAATGCTAATGATAATCAATGTTAATGATCATTTTAATAATATTATATCTAATGACAATTTCTTTACATTTTTTTTTTGAATATTATTTTCCCAAATATAGGAGGGAACTACGTTGTTTGAATATTTTATTTGATTATGCGCGCGAAAAATAATAACTGATACCATTTTATTTGATAACTGGTAAAAATATTTGTGATAACTGATAATGGTGATAAACGTTTTGGCTAAGAAAATGATAACTGATAACAAATGATAACTGGTGACATCTGACGGTAAAATTGTCCTCGGTTACGTAGTGGACCTGACAGAGTCTGGGCGGCGGTGGTGGGATAACTCTGGTTAAATAGATAAGAATAACTATCTCAAAGTATATGGCGGGGTGGTAGATCATATCTCACGGGAGGCGGTAAGTCCGGGTTCGATACCCGATCACTTATTTTGCAATTTTTTCACTATTTGTTGATTAACGTTCAATAACAAATGATTATATGATAACTGATAACAAATGATAACAGTGATGACTGATAAAGTATATGCCGCGCACGTACGCGATCGGGCGGCGGCGGCGGCGGCGGTGGCTTCGGGCAAGGGTGAGGGTGAGGGGGTACGTCACATACGTAGCGGCAGCGGCGGCGGCTGTGGGCGAGGGTGAGGGTGAGAATGGTGAGGGTGAGGTTTTTGAATTGGCTATTTAATCCGACTTTAGTCGGACCGTCGTTCTCATCAACTGCGAGGCTCGCTGGTTCTATATATTGTGGTGTTATATACCATGGAGGGTACTGTGCATCAGTGTATTTTTTAACTCACTTTTTAATTTACTAAAATATGACTTATTTTATTACTATTTCACTTAAATATTATAAAAACCTATTTAATTATAAATCATCAATTTTATTGATGCAATATATCAATACATAACTCAGTCCAGAATTAAAAATAATAAAATGATAAAACGATGTCCCATCAATGTTTTCTGTAGTGTAATGATATGCTCACACATCATAATTTATTGTATATTTTATCATTTCGTTAAATAAAGTAACGGTCAAGTTGTCGCACGCAGATAGCCTTCAATAAAAACCTATAATCCCTATTGATCACTGACGAGAGAGACGATCTACATTGTTTGGCCACGTGGGAACCCAAACGCTATTGCGACCATATGGCACAAAGCGTTTGACCTATTTTCGTGTGCCGCCAAAGACAAGGGATGGTCCAATGAGGCTCTCTGTCATCGGGGACCCTGGCTGTCTTGATCACGTCGTCTTCTCTAGTCAGTGCATGAGCACTAGCCAAACCATCGAGTGCATGAGCACCAGCCAAACTATCGAGTGCATGAGCACCGACAAAAAGACAGTGCAGGCGCATCATACAAACGAGCAGGAGCTCTTCCCAAGACCCATCACACAC